AATTGGAATGATGACGCTTGGAGCAATTTTCTATTCACAAATGGGTCTAGATTTTGCCTAAATCCAAATGATGGAAGGATTAAAGTGTGAAGACGCCTATGAGGGAAGTACGCTCGGTGCAACTTCATTGGAAAAGAGGCATATGGTAGAGGGTCAGTTATGGTATGGGGCGGTATTTGCGTGGGACCACATTGTCAAAGTTGAATGGGCAACAGCGCCACGATATGTAACTGAGATTTTGTAAGAAATGGTAGTGCCATTTTCCCCTTTTATAGGAGTTAGATTTGTTTTTATGCTACTATACTGCCTAAAACCTATACTGCGGCCATAGTTGTCTAATACGACATGTTGAAATCAATATTATGAGGTGGCGCTGGGTTTGTCTGATCGGAAGATCAAAATATCCGGTCAAATTTCGAAAATATCGGGATTTTATGGTTGTCCGTAAAAAAAATGAAAACTTTAAATTAAGAGGCTAGCAAAAGCTAATTTAAGTACACTTAATTTTTTAGATTGCTTTATTAGTATTCAGAAAAGATTTAAAATTCAAACAATTTACTCCAATGTTTAGTCTTATTACTAACTCAGCATTTATTATACATACGTCAACATTCCGAGAGGTTTGTTTGCAGATTTTGAGTTTTGTCGGGAGTCTGGAGATCATTTAAAATTTTGGGAGAATTCAGACGAATCCCGATCATCTGGCAACCATAGGTGCTCGCCCGACTTAAAACACATAGATCATGTTAGAGATTAGCTTGAAAGAGAAATTAAAAAAAGCAAGGGTAATCAAATTTAAAAAAAAAACATATATTACCAATTAAAGGAGCGAGAATGATCGCTAACCAACTTTAAATTGTCATAAATCCTAAATAGTCATTCAAAAAGAATAATGACTAGAGACACCTAAATACGATATTCAAAGACCTAATTAATGAGACCCCACTTGTCATAGTTCGTCGACTTTCATTATTTGCTTTTAAGCAATATGGCGTCTGGGTGTCGCCATACCGAATTTTGATTACTCTATTCTTTAGTGATAGTGACTTTACTTTACTTTACTTTACTTATCTTCACGCACAATCCCTAACGGGGTAGCCAGAGAGAACAGATCGCCAAGTGTCACGATCCTTACATACCTCTTTCGCTTCTTTCATGTTCATTAACTTCTTCATACATGCACGTCTAGGTATCCGAGTACTCTTGACCTTCCCCTCTTCGAGTAATTTGCTCACATGGTCTTCGAAAGTTAGTCTCGGTCTACCTCGACACCTTTTAATATTTACTTTCGCGCTATATATTTCCTTCACCATTCGGTCTTCACTCATTCGCTCAACGTGCCCAAACCATCGGAGTACGCCCCTATCAATTTTTGTGATAAGGTCATCTTTCAATCCTGCCATATTGCGAATCTCTTCGTTTCGCTTTCGGTCGGCTATGGTAACGCCGCATATTTTACGAAGAGATCGCATCTCCACTGCATTCAACTTGCTTTTATGCTTCTTCTGGCATACCCAGGTTTCGCTGCCATATGACAAAGTCGGCACCAACACTGTGTTATGTATTGCAAGGCGTGCACTCTTCACTACGCCTTGCCTTTTGACTAACGCATTCAGGGCACCATTGACTTTGTTCCCGGCAGCCACACGCCTGTCCACACCTAAATCACATCTTCCATCCCGGCTGAAAGTACTCCCCAAGTATACAATTTCATTTACCTGTTCTAGACATTCCTGATTTACCCATATTTCACATTTCGTTCTCTCTTCGTCCTTTTCAAATACCAGAACCTTAGTTTTATTAGCATTCAAACGGAGACCTTTAATTTCACATTCCTCTTTCATACACGTGACTAATGCCTGCAGTTTATATAACCCTGTTATTATAATATTAAGGAATTTATGGATGATAGTAACCCCTGGGAAGGGTGATCGCTACCAAGCTATTTCTAATTTGTGTTGTGTTGTTAATTGTAAACATGATTGTAAGCTATTATTTGAAAAAAGAATAGTCCCGCTGGGTTTCTTGCTGGTTCTTCCCAGGACAGAGGTTTTTTTTGTGAACCAGTGGTAAATGAAAAAAGTGACTTTCAATAAGTATTGCTATAATCTACATTGAATACAAAAGTTTCTGTTTCTGTTTCAGTTCTGCTTCTGATGGTGCAATAAGCACTGCATCATCAGCATACAGCAGACAATTAACTTTAATGTCACCCAATTTCACACCCAAACAGCTATTTTTCAGCTTCTGTAAACAGCTGTCGAGATACAGTATGAACAGCCAGGAGAACATGACACAACCCTGTTTTACGCCCGCTTGGACGCTAAACATGGGTGACAGGTCATGCCCTACCCGCACACAGGCTTTACAGTCATAGTAAAGTGACTGCACAGCCCTTAACAATCGACCATCCACACCATATTCCGGCAACAGTTCCCACATTTTCTTCCTTATAACCTTATCAAATGCTTTCTCCAGATCCACAAAAGCACAGAAAATCTTCTGGTTAACACTCAGAAGCTTCTCCATGATCATGCGGAGAGAAAACATTTGATCCGTGCATCCTCTTCCAGGTCTAAATCCGCATTGTGCCTCCCATAAAAATCTTTCCGATTTCTCTTGCATCCTACGTGTCAAAACCTTCGAGTAAACTTTACTTGCTAAACTGGTCAAGCTGACTGCCCGATAGCACCCGCAGTCAAAATGTGAACCTTTACCTTTATATAAAGGCACAATCACCGCGGATCGCCAATCATCCGGGACACCTCCCGTCCGTCAGCACAAATTGCATAGCAGACGCGAGGCCCACCATACTTGACCATTTCAGCAGTAACTCTGTCTAGTCCCGCAGCCTTACTACATTTCGAACTTTGAATCGCACGTTCAATCTCTTTCATGCTGATGACCTCAGTGTCATCGAGGTCCGTGTCTGGCGTGCCAGTCACGGCGTCACCCCCGGATCCTTCACTAAGATCATGACACGCATACATTTCTCTATAAAATTCACTCAATCGCTGCATGACGTCCGATTTTTCTGAGAGGACGTCATTGGTTCTCGAAAGCACTTTGTTCATTCTTAAGGCTGTCGCACTACTCCGAGACATTCCAACCTCTTTCCAGAAGAGTTTGGAGTTTTCCTTAAAGTTGTGCATTTCGTCCGCTTCTATTCTACACCTTTCACGTACGTCCTCAATCAGTGTTTTCGCATGAACTTTCTGCAGCTTAAATCTTTCTTTCATCTTCTCTCTCATACGCTTATCGTTACTAGAGGTCAAGTAGTCTAACCATGCTTTTTTCTTCTTTTTTACAGCTTCTCTCACTCATCATTCCACCATGCATCTCTTCTTTTACTGTGTGAGTGATAGTGACACTCTCAAGATTAAGATACGTTTGGTCTCTAGATCTGTCCCCGCTAATTTGAGATATCTTAAAAACACATTACATGAAGAATGGAACGTTCAATTTCTCAGTGTAAAACGTAGCGTGAAACTATTGCAAATTACATAGACGTTAGTAAATATAGACGCAAGTAGACGCAGACACGATAAGAGTTTTTATAATTTAAATTAGTTTTGATATATACGTCCCACTGCTGGGCACAGGCCTTCTCTAATTTCTGAGAGGGTTTTAGGGCAAGAAAACGTCCGCCGCGCTGTCCCAATGTGTGTTGGTATCATTATCATTTTATGTATTGCCTATGAATTTATAAAACGTTAACAAAAATCAATTGTTTATGTGGTAATGTTTATACTATTAAATAAAATAATGATATAAACTAACCTACATCCCACTGCAGGGCACCGACCTGCACTCATATTTGAGATATTTAAAGATTTTAGCCTACATCAGTTGCTTGGTAAAACGCTGGCAACTTTATTCCTGGAGTTCTGAATGTCTTTTTATGAACAAAACAAATTGAATGGAAATCTTTAACTAGAGTACTTTATTTAGTTTCTAGGGTTTTCCTGAATATATTTAGTTCTGCCTGTCTAAATTTATAATAGCAACATAACGTCTAGTATTTAACTGAATAGATAAAATACAGTAAATAAGTAATACATTCTTCTTCTTCACCAGACCGTGATTGACCACGGCTGGACATGGGTCTCTCCTGTTGTAAGAGTTCTAACTCCTATTTCTTATTTTTTCTTTTAAAAAAAATCGTTACCCCCACACTAGGATATTCTCCTGTATCGTGGGAGTAGTTTACAAACATAGATTTCACAAGGACAAACATCCAGACCCGGAACAATTACTTGTAGGCCATACAAATACTTGTTCTGTGCTGGATTCGAACCCGCGGCTCTTAGCGCTGTAACTCATTACTAATCCACTGCACCACGGAGCCGTCTGTTAGCTTATTATAACAAATCTAAGCAAATAACAATATTGTGTATTTTTATCGTAAGTATTTTTATATAGGCTATCAAAGCAATAAACAAACAAAATTATTATGCGAATTAAAAAAATCTTTAATCAAATTATTTATTTAATTATAATGTTTGTATTTAATAAATTGTTTTATCTATTCTTTCTCAAATTTGCAATGCCTGGAAAAGGCTACTAAGTTAGTAAGAAAAATTGTAATTATTATAAGACCATTTTACACACTTGGTTGGCAAATAAAAATCGATTGATTGATAAAAAAATGTATTTCTTTATGACCTCTAATAGAAACATTGATAGTAAAATAATTGACAGTTACCATGTCTGCTTCCTGCCTAACTCTATAACAATGTGAAATTTCATATTTAATTTTGTTACACCCTCCTCTAAAACGTTCATATATAATAACGATTTTCACACAATATGCGGAAACATTTTGTAACGGCTGCCGATGCATAGTTCTTATTTCTGTTTAAACTTAGTGAAAATAGCATCAAGTGCTTGAATGTTTTAGTCTGCGAACCTGGTGTGAAGTACAGAATAATAATTTTTTATTTGGAAACTCTTTAAGTCATTAAAATATGTCACCAATAATTTTTTTCATATTTTGCTGCATGACAACATTAGGTGCCAGTGGTAAAAATGATGTAGAAAACTATAAAAACCTCACACGTATGAGGTCTGTGAAAAAACCACGATTTATTTCTTTGGGTGGTATAACAGACAGTATAAATGTGAGTGAATTTAACAATCGAGATAATAAAAGTTACACACATATAGTTTTTTAATAAGTAATTAGTTTAAAATTAAAAGACTGTATTTCCAGGTGGGTTTGGATTTTTCGGTTCCATTCCTTAAAATACCGTTAAACAAAAATACTCATTCCGGATTTGGACTAAATCATTTGGTAAGTGTGCATTAGTTATATTTTATAGTGACAAATTATTTTATTTCTTTACCATAGCGAAAGCCTTCAACGTGTCAGTTATACCGAAATTATATTTTACGTACCGAAGCGTTAACCCGCTACAAATAGAATGAATGATAGCCTCGTTCTCGTAAGCGCGACCCTTGATCATGTGATCTCGGGTTGGAATCACGGATCGAGCCAAAATATCAGTTATTGAGTTTTTCTGTCAAGAAATCCTCAGTATCATCCTGGAGTCAAGTAGTTGGCGGTGTTTCCTCCCTGTGCCTCGATGAGCACCTGATATAGTTCTGGTCAGGTTGGACACGGCAACGTTCCATAGAACTATGAAAATGAGGAATTAAGAGTGCACAAATGTGTATTTATAATCCTGTCCCGTACCCATACCTGTATGTATGTATTAGCTGCTGTCCGTCGAGACTGGTCGTCGTGACATTTCGATCTAGAGAATATTAGGTGTTATGAAAAGAGTAGAATAATCGTAATTTAACATATAAATATTAGATACTCAAAACCATTTTTTCATTTGCCACTGGTTTAAATAATTTCTCTTAATTTTAATAAATTGTTGTCAAGTTTAGATTACGCCATTTCGTAATCAAATTTGTTTGCTATTTTAACTATTCTAACTGAAATTATTTTTACAGGGTGCACCGATACTTACTTTTGATCCAACGTCTCTAGCATTCGGTGGTATTTTGGTGTTAGTAACAAGCTTTCTTGCCTCAGCCTTTACTAAAGATTTCGCTCCAATGCAAAATCACCGTCGTTACGGCAGACGTACGTAATTTAATTTACAATTACTTTATTAAAATAATTAACATAACTAACAATATTAATAATTACTTAAGATTTCATGAAAAATATTCTGGACAGAGGCTAAAGGGTGAGTTTTATCTTAGGATGCAATGTTTATCAAACATTAACCTGAACATTTTTGGTTATCGACGTTTTTTATTTGAAAAACAAGTGACGTGAAAATTATTTCGTAAACACTTCTTTACTAAAACTATAATTGTAAGAGTTATTATTGTATTTACCCAGTGAATGCAAATTGTTTCATTTGCGTTCGCCGTATTTGCCTAATAAATAATAAAACAAAATAAGGTTTACTTTCACAGTGTTATCCAAAAATGCATCACGTCGGACACGGACCACAAATCTTTTTTGATTTCTTCTTTGGCTTTACTAACGTACTAGATTTTTTACTCATACTTGGTGGCTCTACAATACCAGCGTCCGCCGGAATATATTGCGTTTCCACATGAATGAAATTTTGGCGTTTTCGCGGCGAGAGGTCGAAACAACCAAAAGGTGGGGTATACTCTATATCCCAAGTAGCGTTACTGGAAAGTGAACTCAATGATTCTTCTTTACAAATACACTCGGGTTCTTTAAACGCTGGACAACTATCTATAACTTTATCTATCGCAGTCAAATCGTTGCAAAAAACGTCCATGTACGCGCATTTACAAATATCTTCAACGGCCTCGGCCAATGCCTTTCTTATTTCAGCGTCTCTTTGCTTTTTAAGTTTAACCATTTTGCGGGCTTCGACTTTTGCTTGTTCTTCGGGACTTCGCTTTTTGATGATCTTGAACACCATAGGATCACAGTCGACATAAGGATCTTCGTTGGGTTCTATCTCTGTTAAGTCCTTCAGCGGATTTACCTTAAACGATAGTTAATAATTTTCAATTCCATAATTAATATAGATCTAATAAGTTAAAATTTGAATTCAGTATGTACAGATATGCATTAGCCAGGATAACTGCTTTTTGGGAAACTAAATTATGGTTAAAGATAGTTTATTCTCAAAAGAAATATACATTTCACTTAATGAGAGGTTACAATATTCAAGTTATAAATGGGTTATGAGCATACAGATAGCAAAATATATATATATATATATATATATATATATATATATATATATATATATATATATTGACATTAAAAAGGGAGGAAATAGTTTCGTGACATACAACTTCTTACTAGTTTAGGCATACAACTTAATACTTCCAATATTATCGTTTTGTGTATTGATGTACAAGTTAGCAATCTTTTAGTAGATAGTAATAGATAAGATGGGTAGTAAGTAAGGTATTTCTTATCGTTACCGATAACGCTGATTAGCGGTCGGCATATGGACAGGGTCGGATTTAGAACTTATTCATTATATGTTGTTTTAGTTTGCTTTTAAAGATGTGAACTATTTAATATTTTTATTTCTTGTGGTAGTTTATTATATATTTTAACTCCATCAAAAAGTATGCTCTGCTTACCATAGTTTGTCCGTACCATAGGTAAGCAAATATTATTAGTGTTGCGAAGTACTTTCTTTCCTTTGCCTTTATTTGTTATAAATTTTAATTGTGTGTGTATTTTATTATCTAAATTAAAGTGACAAATAAACGTAAAGTCCATCTGATGGTAAGTAGCCATTTCAGTCAATAGACACCTGTAGCCAACTTCAAACAAATAAGACTACAGATGCGTTGTCACACCACGTTGATTATAATGACTCTCTAGGTACACGTATATCCTTTAGACTGGAACACAGTAGTGCCCACACTTCTGCTTGGCGACAGAGATAGGTAAGAGGTGTAATTAAAGATTACAGGCTATGAGAAATTCAATCTTACATCTTAAGGTGACAACACATGTTTGTTTGTTTGTTTGAAGTTGGTTGCTAGAGTTCCGGACGTGGACTGTAATTTCGTTTGTCACTTCAATTTTATTAAAAAAAAACTGCAAGCGTTTCCACAGACTAAAAGGCATTAATCGGTTAGAAAAAAGTTAATATACCTGTATAGTGAACACATCTCCTTTTCTCTGCACTTTTAACGTTGGCTTCGGTTCCAGCGGCTCGTCTGGCTCTGAATCCCCTCCCCCTGTGTCCGCGCCGGGTCTCTTTCCCTTCTTTTTCTTCTTCTTACTCTTATCCTTATCCTGTCCACCTCTAGTGCATTTGAATGTCATCATTTTAGCCACGCTCTTGCCAACGGCGCCAGGTTGCCACCCACGACGTGGCTAAACAGTATTTAAATCAATTTAATAAATTAAACTTTAATTTCCTAGTAAGTAAAAATTACATAATGATGTCTTCTTGAACAATTTTTCACTTTTGGGACATTAGAGTATAAAAAACATTAGTGTATATGATGACGATAATACTCCTGAGTATTTCAGTTAAGCCGCCTTACTTAGCATTGCGCACAACTCAGAAAGGCTCTTGTTTTCTCCTTTTACAATGAAATGATTTATTTGACGTAATACCCTCGTCGTGGTGTTAGATACTTTTTCACGACACCATTCTGTCATATTACAATCCGATATTTATGGAGCGGAGCTTGGCCCTCTTATATACGGCTCCGATGCTGTATTTATTGATATCTCCTCTGAAACTGTCCGATTTTCATTAAGTCAAACACTGATAATCAAAGTTGTGTTAACAGTGCATAGATTCATTTTTATTTTTACCTGTTTTCATTGTAATGTAAATAAATACACAAGCGTCACATTATGTCATAACTTTTTGTTATATTTTATTTTAATTTTTTTGTATTATTTTTCTAACGTGGCGGGAATGGGTCAGCTCGACCGTAGAAAGACCACGCTCTCATAGAATACCAGCATATAATAGCAACTTAATGTTGCTGTGGTTCGTATGGTGAATGTATGTTATTGGCGACCCTTTTTACTGAAAACGAGACATCCATCTTAGTCCTCAGAGGTGACTTCTCCATTTTTATTCTTAATAGAGGATATATGTAGGTACGAGTAGATGTCTATGAGCCGCAGCAACCACTTACCATCACTGTATATATATGCTCGTTTGTCACCCTTTATCTAAGTATTTAAAATAATTGTATTTGTTGCGACTTGTGTATTCATTACGCGGTACTTGTAATGAATTGCGTTAATATTTTCAAAGTTGAATTTTACATTCTCACGTGTTTGTATAATTAATGTATCCGCCACCTTTGTTCGTCTGCAACACATACTCAGTTAATGCGTTTGACCTTTTGTGAAGAAAGTTGGTAGTTGCACTACTAGAAAATCTTTTCTTTAAACCGTATATGAGACTTAAGATACTTATTTTTTTGATTCAAGAATACCGTTACCGTTACAGGCTATTAAAGTTCACTGCTACTGCTGAACATGGGCCTCTCGCACAGGTTACCTCATAATTATTTATTATATTATGGGATTGATTCAATAATAATAAATATATATATTAAATATTAATATATATATATATATATATATATATATATATATATATATATATATTAGAAAACGATAAAACATTTAATTTGTACCTTCAACCCGGGCACATCTGGTGCATTCCATAGCCATCCCATCTCGGCGGGGACGTGAAAGCCCGGCTTCTGGAACGGATTGCATGTCTTATGCCCGATTGTGACTCCTGTCAGAAAGAAAATGTGACTACAAGTTTTCACTCTTCTTCTTCATTATCTGCCGTCATAATCCACGGCTGGATATGTACCCCAGTATTCTTGTTCCTGCCTTTATTTACAGCAGACACACGCATGTATCCCCGAAAACGTTTGCAGAATTGCTACACGATATTCGTTTCACGCTGACGACTGTCCCAATTGACAATATACATGGTCATTTTCCAATAACCGGCCTAATTTGTGTTGGGGGTTCAGAATAAGTAATGTAGGCAAATGGTGAATGTATTTAAGAAAAATCTCAAACATTCAGTTCTTTTTATCTTTTTAATTCAAAATGCGTGTTAAAGCGCAAATTTGTAAGGGTCGATCAATAGTGAAAAACGATGTCATTCATAAATCATCTCAATTTGGAATTATTTCAAATAAAATTAGTCTTATTGACTCGTATTTTCAAATTAGCAATAACGGTATATCATTATTTATATATTTGAACTGAAATTTAAAATTTAGCTACTCATTGAAAAATAACCCTGTATGCAACTAAGGTATATTTCGTAGTTCCTATGACTATAGGATATAGATATATTTTTTCAACATATACTGTACTTATTAGAAAGTTTTAAATCCAGAATCTCACAAGCAGCGTCGGGGCTTGTGATCATCATATTCAACAATTTTATTTACAGTATCACAATTTCATGTGCTTATGTAAAACGCCTCCACGACATAGGATATAACCGTACTACGAGGATAGTAATCTAAAGGCAAGGTACCGCGAACACTAATGGTCGTGGGTTTGAATCCGCCATTCGAGTACTGTTATGAACCACTCTAACACTAGCATTTAAGTTGACTATATTGATTTTTTTTAAATTTTAAAAAATTTTAATAAAAGTGACAAACCAGCACACAGTCCACCTGATAGCAAGTGGAATCAAAATGCAGATGCACTGCCGGTGCGTCAATCAATAGTACGTACACTACTGGGATCCGTGTTTAAGAGTATGGACATCTAGCATAATTTTAGACTATAATAAGTCGTTAAATCTAAATCCACAGAAATCACAACTCGTAGCTTTTCTGCATCATTTTACAAGACTTATGGACTAGAAAGACTGTTAGGTAGTGCATATGTGACTTTAGTGTTATAAAAAATCTTACCTGGATAATCATCACCAAACGAATAATTATATTTGGATGCATTTTTCTTTTTCTTCTTTGTGCCATTTTCTTCTTCTTCTCCCATCTTTTACAAGTTTACTAGAACCACCAACAGATAGTTAATCAATGTCTTCTACGCCTCGTTGGAAATATTTTTTACGTGGTAGAGTCACGTGCACATGTAATTTGATATTTCTATGCAACTTTACTCCCCGCTTCCTATATTATGGTTATTTGGTAATGTAGAGAAAGGATATATCGAGTAATATTCCCGATGTAGTATCAGAAATCTTGAGTGAATTACAAAAAAATTCAGACTAAGAAATATAGTAATTGGGTGTTTTGCGTAAACTGTAACATAGCCTTAACGGATTTTAAAAGTAAATTATGATTTATTTTTTAAATAGAATTGTCACAACTATCCTAATATTGAATTATTTATGCAAAGTTAATGTATAGTATATACAAAGCAAAGCCCAATAGATCAGTTAGTTAAAGCGGCAAAGTACTGTTCATGTAGCTCAAAGAACTGACAATCAGTGTACTACTAGTAGTCATCTAGATGAATGCAGATAGCTCGGAACCGAACTTTGTAGCATTATTTGAGAGAGATCGATAGCAGTGGACTTGTGATGGGCTGTAATGATGATGATGATGATGATGGTGCTGAAGATATAGTTTTTAAGCTTCAACAATATGTTATATCTTTGTGATTGATCAACTGCATTTTTTTAATTTTACTAGTCTTAAAATACGAACATAAGGTTTAAAAGTATACAAAGATCTAATAAAAACTTATTCTGTTTAAGTTCGTAAATTTATTTTGAATTGGGTTTGGGTTACAAAATAAAATATCAACGAGTTGCATTCCATCATTTCTTATCTTCTTTGAATTTTTCTTGTATTGCCAATTTATGCTCTCCGCAGCATCCTTTACCCATAAGAGACAATAACCGTTGTTCTTTATCGCAACATCGTCTCTCAGTATCTACGTTGAATTTGTTTACACATCTAAAATCATGGTCCTTTTCGAATTTCATATATTCTTGCAAAGCTTTCTTTATTCTTTCATACTCTTTGGAACAGCAAACTTTACCAGCATCACTGTAGCTAGGTGGTAAAGTTGGTAAAACGGCATTCTTATACATTCTAGCAAAACCATCGGGAACGCTACATGGTCTACCCATTACTGGACACGGGCCTAAAGTTATTGGAGGTAGGCCATAGGGTAAAGGCTCAACTTCATCTTCTTCGTCTTCTTTTACTGTCTCTTCTTCATTTACCATTGTAACGGGACAGTTGTCCTTATGTATGTATGAAGGGCAATAAGGTTTATGGAGTTTTCTAGATTGTTCGTCGGCCATTTCAGTAACGCATTCACAATCAAAAGTCTTACACGGGGGCGTCGGTTTTGGCGTATTGCAACTGCAATCTTTATCATCACGTACCACAACACAATTGTATACTGGTATGTTTCTTTTAGAATCTTTATCCTCAACGTCTGTTTCTAACATATATCTCAAGCCTGCGATAGTTGCTGAACGTTTATCATTAACCAGTGAATTGTCCACATCCATGGGTAGGTTTATTCTTTCACTGTTAGAAGGAAATACATGAAAACACGGGCTTTTCTTATTGGACCCAGTCTGGAAATTGTGTTTTACCGTTGAATTCATAACAGTAAAATTATTTCCTACATCACCATTTTTGTTATTCTGAAATTTTACTGTACTAAACACATAATTGACCTGAGTTTTACTACTTTTTGGAGTTGCACCGGTGCCAAAAAACTTTTGTTTTTTGTCCTCACACGTCTCTCCTGCAGTGGTAAGGCCGCTGCACCCGGGGCATTCTGCTTTACTAAGACTGAAATTTATTTCATTAGTATTCTGCTTTACTGGACAATCCTCTCTATGCCATCGATCATCTTTACAATCACACGCACCACATATCTTTCGAGTAATATTTTCCTTCTTGTAACTCAACTCCCCAGCTTCACGCTTATAGCTTTCTAAATTCCTTATATACATTTTTACTTTATGAGCTAGAGGACAATTAGTATTACCACATGGCCCTCTTATATCTCCCATGCGGATCTTATCTATTGGATATGACTTTTTCTGACGTTCTTCTTCAACAGTAGCCGTATGTCCACAAGTATAATCCACTCCCGGTTCTTTCGTTCCACAACTCTGTAGATGTGTACAAATTTCTATCTTCTGATTTGCATTTTTTAAAATTTCAGGATCTTCGAGAGTAGTTGTCTCATAAAGACTACCCACCATGCAGAAATTAGGATTATCGCCCTCAACTCTTTTACATTCAAACATACTCGGAGCTTTATCTGTTCTAAATACAAACGAATCAGGGTTCTGCATCAGTTGTTGAAATTCTGTAATTATGCTATTACCTAAAGCACTAACTCTGAGAATAAAAGAGATTTCACCGGCTTGCTTGCAGCAGCACTCTGCCATCAAAGGCGTATTTTCTTTTATTGACAAAGGCTGATGAATTTTGCAAATATCGGAGGTATCTTTAAGCATGTGGAAAAATTCTGTTTGCCAGTGCATATTACCTACACCAACAAATATGTTAACCTCGGTATCATCGTCATTCCAAACTTCAATTTCAAGAGGAAATTTGCTAAGTATCATTAGTAGTGTGTCAGGATACGACGGAAAAAGATACGATTTACCCACTCTAATTGTTCTTGTCCATTTTCTTCGTCCCTGTGTATCAGTTTCAACCACGTCGTCTTGCTTGACATCATTTGACGCTAACTGATTTTCTTTAATGATAAATTCAAATTTAGGACCAAATTTAACTTTAATGATTAATTTTTTATTTGTAGCATTCTTTTCATCTTCTTCGGTTTCGAATATTGTTACTTTGTCAATGAAAATTTCTATCAAGTACATTTGCTCCATCACCTGCCAAGTTCAATATTTTGTTATCAAATAATTCTCCTTCGTGAAGCATCAGGGTCAGGGTCTAGATGACCGGAATCTTTGCTAAATTGTAATACAAACAAACATACAAAATCACGTTTAAATCAGAACATGTTACATGCACTTTTATATCACATGTATTCACTTCACAGGAACTATTTAAACTATCGCTTTTCCTGCCGAATTCAAATCATTAACGCTACCGTCGGTGACAACACTTACATTTTTCAATTAGAATTTTCAGTTTTGAGTTGAATGAACAGTTTTGAGTAAAATTATAAATGAGAATGTATATTTAACCTTCAATCACATCTTACCAATTGAACGCATTGCAATTAAATTCGGCATTTGACTTCGATAATACTCCAATACTTCGCGAAATGGGAAATAAGATACTTTTTATAACATTGTAGGCCAAACCGTTGTGGAAAAATTTCCCTTAATCGTCACGTTTAACCTGTGACGCCTCATAATAATATTTACTCAGTCACTCAGTCATCAGCCATCACAAGTCCACTGCTGAACATATGCCTCCTCCATAGATAGCCAGAAAATATGGCGCTGAGCCATCGACTTCCGATGTATTTCCATCAGGTCATCACTTCATTTGATGCTGACGCTTTCCAGCAAGAGGCTGCCTTTCGAGAACCTTTCATATCTGTCAGCTATCGCTTCTTTGAACTATATAGCTGATCAGTAAACTGAAGTAGCTATCACTTTTACATACCGATCAGCTGGGCTGTCAGTTAATCCAGACGATAATATACATACGACAAAAACTGTAGGTAAAACATCTCTTTAAAATATGTACAAAATACTTACGGATGTGTGTGCTCTAAACTAGCTGTATTTGATGGGTATTAATGATTACGGACACTGAAATTTTATTTTGTAACCCCTACAATTTTAATCACGCCATGACGTTCAGACACTGACAATTTTGTGATGCCCGTTGAAATTATATTTGGAACGTCATAGCCAACTGTATATTTGTTTTTTTTTTAAATACATATCTTTTCTTAACAACCCATAATAATTCACTGTTGGCTTTGAGCTATCCCACACTAAGAAGTTGCCATAAACACCACGCTTGAATATTCAAGATTTCAGTAACAAACGGGCTTGTCTCTATCGCCGCGCTGGTTTAGGAATCAAATTTTGGTATTAAACGGGACGGTTGCACTTTTTTTCCTATTATATTAAGGTTGTATCACGATTTTAGCAAGAATAAGGATCACGCTATCACAGAATATCAGCGTAAGATAAGAGCTCAATGCCGCTGTGCTTCCTATGCGTTATGTATGTCTGGTGGGTAGTGTATCTTAGGGGTTTGTGTAGGGAGGAAAATTAAGTAATTGTTCACATCCGTTGCAGTTCATTTATTTTTATACATCAGAGGCGCGTGTTCACATGATACACTCAGAAAGAAACTGCCTACTGCACTCTAGCTCACCGACTTACCCGCCGGCGGCGGTCGTTATCGTGTTTCATCAATGATATTTTTACGTATAATAGCATTGTGTTTCATGCGAATTACATTTACATTGGCACGGGCGATGTATGTGTGTGCTGTGTCAGCAGCACCTACATATGGTAAATGTAAAGAACCAGAGACCCTTTAACAGGAAACGAGACATTCCATCTTAGTCGTCAGGGGTGGCAACGCATCTGCATTTTAATTTATAAATGAGGATAGTTGTAAATGTCTATGGGTCACAGCATCCACTAATATCCACTTAAAAAGGCAGTGTTTGACCACAATCTCACCTTGTGGTAAGTAGTGATGAAGTCGTAGACAGTAAATCACGCTGTTATCTGACATCTATCGGAGGCTTTCTGGCCTCCAGCGTTCCCCTTAGTCGCCTTTTATGACACCTTAAGGAACGATAGCTCTAATAGATTCTCCTGCGCCGTTACCATGGTTTCTATGGAAAACCTAATGAACAAATTTTATGAATGAATGATTAATTTGTCACTCATAACACAACGTGAAAATAATTTAAGACAACAAACAAAACAAAAAACAATATAACAAACATATGGGATTGCAGCAACGAAAAGGCATCTGACTGAACACGATGCTGTAACATTATTGCAACAGCCTCATATTTATCAAGCAGATGTTGGACATATTGAAATGCTCTTATTAACCGATATCAAAAATTAAGGAGGTTTTCGTTTCGTCAGAATATTTTTGTATTTGTTCAGCAATAAATTTTACCACGTTGTCCGATTTCAATGATTCTTTGTTAGTAGGAGGTTACCTGACAGGTGGTTCCATATAAATCAAGAACAAATATATTAATCTCTGTATCAAAATCTGATAATGGGATCCATGCGTTAATTATCAAACTCTTCAATTTGCAAAGTCATCTGCACTATATAATATGGGCTAATACTTTTTACCATGTTCAGCGATTGCCACAAAGTACAGTGCTGAGCCACTTGCAACCATTACTTGTGTTTCATCAGGTCATCACCCTATTTAGTGGGGTTGCCTAACACTGCGCGTTCCAGTACGAGGCTACCATTACAGAAACTTTCTTACCCATTCAAAATTTGATTTACACCTAGTTGATACAGTATAAAATTAAAATTTTGGAAATAATTTAAAATGAACGCGACGAAACCTGTACGACAAAACTAATTGGCAAAATATTTTTTTTAATAATTAAACTCTTCAATTTGTAAGTCATCTGCACGATATAGTATAGGCTAATATTTTTTTTGACCACATTAACGGCTTTTGATGTTTTTTTTTTCAGCTTTTACTTTTTATCTTGTAGTGTAAGGATTGGAAGAGCGAGTGAAACATACAAATGATCAGTATGAGACTAAATTGTATTTCGAAGAACATAACCTATTACGTCATATCAAATATTATTGTATTAAGCATAGGTGAACCTTATGAGTGTACTACTCATAACTGACTGCGTCGTTGGTCTAGTGGTTGTAAACGCAACTGCTAATAAAAAGGTCCTAGGTTCGAATCCTGGGAAAAGTTTTTTAGTCAAGAAATTCTCAGTAGCTCAGCGGATTCAGAAAGTTAGCAGTGTCTCCTCACCTCCGTGCCTCGGAAAGCACGTAAAGCCGATGGTCCAGCGCCAGATCTCTGTCCGGTCATGTCGGTTTAACCTCTTATCGGACTATGAGAGTAGGGGAAGAGAGAGTGCACCGGTGGTTGTCCATACACTTGGGCCGTAGAATATTATTCTGTGCCGATGGCTAGTCTTAGTTGAGGCTGCCCGCCGTGACGGAAATTCGGCCTGGAAGACATACTACTAACAGTCGGTCTTCGAAGGCGTCTATCTCTCCTGAACACCCTGTATATATATATGTACTAATATTAGTTTGGGTAGATTGTCCACTCATCTAGTACAATCTAATCTACCCTAACTAATTTCAATAAATTTTAGGCACAAACACCTATTAGAATTCAATATACAAAATTCATCATAGCGACCAATTAGAAAGAAGTTTTGTTAATAAGTTTAAATTGAACTATTTTTTTCCAGACCATGATAATATGGCCGACACGTTTCTAGAAATTTCGCAGATAGTGATGTCAAACTGCCAAAACTGTCCATCTCGAATAGCTTGCTGGATGAGTAGGAACTCTGATAGGGAGAGCCTTAAAACTTGGAAACAAATTACCAGGTAACGTAATTAGATTATAACAGCAAAATCGCATGTATTAACCACACGCTAGCCACAATCACAGCCACAGAGTATGTAACCAAGCAAACAGTATATAGTAATGTCCGGTGACCGACAATATCGAACGGAATACTATTATAGAATACTAATTAGAATACTATTATAATATTCTTCTCTATTCATGTATCTGCTCCGGCTATGCTTACAGATTACAGAGTACTGTAACTTGAAATGATCCATTGGAATGACCGACCCGAATAACCCTGTTCGTAAGACGAATCAATACTTTAATGATCGAATTTATTGAATAAAAATAATTAACTATAATGAATAAAATTATCTTAATATACAAATCCATAACTTTATAACATACTATAATATTATATTATTCTATGCTTCATAGCGTCAGGCCATCTAGCGTATATTTTACGTACCACCTTGAGAGACAATCAATTTTTGTTCGATAAAATGAATTTACATACAGAATAAAGCAGATGGTGCTGTTACAAATGACTTTGCATATAGAATAAAGCAGATGGCGCTGTTACAAATCAATTTCACTCGAAAGAACATATTCTTTGATTTATTACACTAAAATGTCTAAAAATAAGGATTGTCACATTTCTTTGAATTTCAACCAACTTGGTTTAATCCTCAGTCACATTTATTTGCTATAAATTAAACTTTTATCTTATATTTTGTATCGTAATTATGGTTGAAAATGATCTTATTAAATAAATAATCTGCCATGAAATTATTATTTTATTTCATTTCATTTGAAGGTTTCCCTTCTACCGCGTGTGATTTTGTCGTGCATTAGACGTAGGACACTGCACACGTTTTGTTTTGAAAGTTCCGTACCCGAAAATACAAATTAATAATTCTATTAGGATCACTTTGTTGTCCGTCCGTTCGTTTATTCATCTGTTACAACCCTTTTTTCTCAGGAATGGGTAGAAGCAGGCAGAAGCTTGAACAAATTATCATACTAATATTTCCAAGAGCAGAGGTATCAAATTAATATAAAAATACTAAAGTTTAATAGTATATACATGTCACAAATGTTGATATTACGAGAGAAACATAATTACGTAACCTATGTAGTACATCCATCTCGGGAATTGTAGAAAAGTTAAATCTCGAATATTCCTCTAAAGATGAAAGGTAAGGCGAATTGTAGGACAAGCATAACTTTTCATAAGCATAAGCTTAATACACCACGATCGATGCTTTAACTGCAAATTTAAGTTTGTAACCACAAAAAACAACTTTTTTTATAGGATACGGTGACAAACTAGCACTCAGTCCAACTGATGCTAAGTGGTTGCTGTGGCCCATATACATCTACATCTATCCTCGATTACGAATCAAAATGCAGATGCGTTGTCACCCGTGAGGACTAAGATGGAATGCCTCGTTTCCAGTAAAAAGGGTCTCCAGTTGTCTACACTCACCATACGAAACACAACATCATTAAGCTTCTATTTTACGCTGATATTCTGTGAGAGTGTGGTGCTTCCCCGGTCGAGCCGACCCATTCGTGCTACAACTATACTACTAATATAACTGCAGTGTGGCTCTACCGCGTATAAAATACTTATTTTTATGTATTTCTTTTTTTATGTGGTACAACTACTTTTTTTCAATTTAACCTTACTTGGTGTGAGATCTTGCTTCTTGCAGATTTTCATGATTATAGGTCAACGGGAAGTATCATACAGGTTATGATGAGTGACTTATGTATCAAATTATGCAAATAACATAAATAGCCGTACTGATCTTTTGATTGCGATCACAAGCGTGATTTTTTAATTAATCTCCATTTAACTTAATGCCTCTTGACAGACAGACGACAAAGTGGTTCTATAAATGTTCCGTTTCTTCCATTTGAGTTACGAAACCCTAAATGTAAGGTTGAGCTAGCGAAGAAAACAAAAAACCTTAATACACTGCGCTTTACTATTGTATATAAAATTTTATGTTAAATAACATAAAATTTTATGTTATTTAATTTTATGTTATTAGGAACGAACTTTTGGCAACTATGCTCAACACAACTGCAGTTGAAAATGCCTTTAACTTTGGAAGAAATGGAGGTGACTGTGAATTCTTCAGGCCGTGTCCTTTGGGTGCAGAACAGTTTTCACAGATAATAAGCAATTCACCAAAGTTATCGAAAACAGTATTGTAAAATTAATAATTTTGTTTTTAGTATAATTATATTGTTAAAATTTATAATAAAAATTAATAAAAAAAATTCTTGTAAATAACTATTACATTAGTTTCATCATTCATTTAACAACCCTCTTATATTTCGGCGTTACGCAAATTTAGGTATTTTACGCTCCGAGCGAGCGATATTTTATTTCATATCTCTATTCATTCGCTCGCACTATGGTACTGTGAGTAGTGACAAAACTATCTTGATCTTCCATTATACAAGTTTTCTTAGGATGGAGTTCAGTAGATGGAAAATTTTTGGTGTGTAATTTTTATGTTACCTAATTAATTTATTATAATCTATTTGACATATTTTTCATTACCTTAGTAGTGCCTAAATATTTTAAATGTTTCACAGTAATCGATTGTTAACCGATGTTGATTAATAATCAATTATATCTATTAACGGTAGCATAGTGGTATAAATAAATAAATGGTACGGTTGTAACCTATTTTAATAAATAAAATAACGAACTGTAACTAATATTTTTAATCGGTACTTACAAGCAATTACCATATTTTTTATTATAAAAATATTTGCCGCAATGACATTGATCGAGCTTAGCTCAAGTCAATAATTTCAGGCAGTACATATTTTTTATAAAACGCTTGTAACTTGAGTAACATATTCAAAATCAAAAATTTGTCGTCTTTTTTAGATTTTTAATACTTTTACTGCATAATCTGGGCAGTGCATATGGCAAGCATGCAGACATTTTATTTTCCAATATTTTTTCTCCACAGATAAGATATTTCTTTTTTTTACGTTTAGTGACACATTGATACTTGTATTTACTTTTCCCCATTTCGACTGTAAGAAAGCTCACTACATAACAAGTAACTATATTATAAAAATTCAAACTTTATACTAATAAATATACTGTAGAGTAAACCATACCAAGATCCAAATTGATTAAAAAACGATAACACCTTTTCTTAACCAGGGGTTACAAACCTTCAATATATAGGCCAATTTGATATGTAGTACTTTCTTTATTTATAATGATTTTTTTATTATTTTTTTAGTGATTGATATAATATATATTTATTAACTATTATTAAAAATGTATTTAAAAGATCGATGTAGTAGAGAAATCATCTATTGTTATAAAGTACTTTATTCATTTAACAACAAAAATCATTAATTTATAACACATATAAAGATTCGAGTGATAACGAATAAGTACGTACTTAAGCAAAAGATAAAACTTTATTTTCAATATTATATAAGAACTTTATTTTTATTCGGTGCATGCGAACCGGCCTAAAAAAAGGTGACGCATCTCTGGCTTCCATTGTCGTTTATTTTAGAACGAACTGACGTAACGCGCGTTTTGTTTATTTTAAAGAGATGAATTTGCAAAAGCTCAATATGGTGATTATATTGCTTTAAATATTGTTTTTAATATGAAAATGTTTTTAAATGAATTGCTGCGTTACTTACCATACATTAAAATATAAAATATAATACATTTTTCGCGATGTACCGTAATATTTTACGATGTTTATAGGAACAACAGACAATATTATTTAAGAAACAAAAAAAACATATGTTTTTTTTGTTTCTTAAATAATATTGATGATACACATGAAGTGTGAATAATATAAATAATTGAATATTGTTATCACATCTAAATTGAGATTTTGTAAGTTACGCATTTTGACACTCGGCTCATATCTAAGGTAATGGTCCGTTTTTCTCAATCGATTTGGCACATACTATAGCACAAAATAGCAGTGTCACGGTCATCGACGCAAACTACGATAATATCGAAACGAGACGGAGCGCGCTAAATAAATTGACACAGGACCTCGTGAGCCGCTGGCGCGGTAGTGAATCAGATTGCTGACGCAGTGAAATACACGGTACCTTTATTTAATTAATTAAAAAATAATAGTAACAATTTAAAAACTAAAAATCATATAGTTTAAGCAAATGAACTTCGGAGATATTGGGGCTTGTATCGAAGCTTTATCGGTAGATAATTGAATTATGTCAATTTTTTTCCTTAGGTGAAAGGCACATAACGAAAATGTATTTTATCAATATTAAAGTACAGGATATTCGTGAGATAATTTTTTTTTGATAGTCAATATTCAATAGAATCTACAAATTAGAGCTCCCAAATCATGTCTCTCAGTTTTGGCCTAAACATGCACCGGGAGAACGATTATTACTAAATAAATAAATAATTTATCTAAAATTTGCCTTGAGTTTATTGTAGTAGAGAAAACAAACTATCTTTACCAAGTAATTGTTATTTCAAGCAATGAACGGAAAACATATAATTTCAACGAGGAAACCTTGTAATTTTGCGTTTTTTTGTAATACTGCTCTTAATATAGTCCATTAATACTTAGTACTATTATTCATTGTGTGTCATTAAAGTCTACTACTGAATTTAGGCTTTCCGATAGATTGTCTCTTAATATATATTTATTTACATTGAAACATACAGAATGATTTTTCAAAGAGTAGGCAAATTTTAAACTTAAGTTCAAATAAATAATTAATTACTGCAGTTTTTGCTAATACGAGCATATAAGGATACTTTTATTTGAAATTATCTCATATTTAATGTGATTTTTGTGACCCTTACGAATGTGTGCGTGCGCAGTAAAATCCAGTAAAAACCATACATTACCACGCATTTTGAATTTAAAAGATAAAAAGACAGAATTACTGACATTTTTTTTAATTTTTCTTCAACAATTGCCTATATTACTTATTCTGAACCTTCTCTGCAAATTTGGCAGGTTATTGCAACCCTTTAAGCATAATCAAAAAATATAATAAAAAAGTAGAACTACTTTTTTTATTATCATGCAGTACTAGTCCCCGTGCTATCGTGACAAAAACGCTGGCTGCTTTTCCTTGTTGAACGGCTATACTTAGCTTCTGAATAAGAAAAGAACCAGCACTTATTACTAGCAGCGAGTACCAGTCGCTGATACAGTTTCTTTAGGAACGTCACCGCACGTGGAGCCCGCAGATCGATATTCTTTACAGCAAATGGTACAAATATATCAGCTGCCTCTGATGCCGCCTCGGCTTTTAATTAGGTACCCTGAGATGAGAGGATCTCTTAATTGAAAAGAATTACACGAACAGTCATGTTAAAATACCTAAAAGCACCCACGTGCCATGTTCGGACAGGGTTTTCTTACCAATTGTATAAACAGTCTGTACCTATATACTGTATTGTCAAAATTATGTTTCTCGAAATTTGGAACAACTAGCCGTAGTTGCAAGCAATAAGTTGGCAGATTTCTTAAAAAAATATACAGTGCTCAACCTTCTTTACCATTGCACATAGGACTCGGGTACTGATGTTTTATAGTCACTGGGAATTGCATTGTAGTTAATTTACACAGGCCTTAAAATTTACAACATGTTTATTAGATTTAATTACACAAACTAGTAACAATATCACCGTGGCCCAATTTCTTGGCGTACTGCAACGGCGTACCGCCGAGGAGATCAGTGTCTTCCCTTCTGACGCCTTTCTCAAGTAAATAATGGACCACGTCGCACTGATTGCACAGCACCGCCTACAATAACAAAAGGTAAAATTAAAAAATTTTGTACAACCGACTTCGAGATAAATAAAACGAGAACATCATCAAGTAATCGAAGTCAATTAAATACGCATTATTAAGGATAACTCAAAAACTGCTGGTCAGATCTTGATAAACTTTATATGGGAACACGTAAGAAGCACCAGCTTTCACATAAAACAAGAAATAAAAGAATTATCCAAATTGATTCACCTAGAAAAAAGTTCTGAGACAACATACATTAAAAAAATACAGTCGAATTGAGAACCTCCTCCTTTTTTTGAAGTCGGTTGAAAAAATATATAGTTACATATGACAGCGTAATCCTAACAAATTCATAATATCATCATAAACAATTGATGGTGGTACAGGTTGTAATAAAAGTTAATACCAGGTTGTTTTAATTGATTCATTACAATATTGTTGATTTAATTTTATACAGATTAAATGTAATGAGAGATTTGTACCAACGTTATCTTTGGTAGTCGTTCCATTCTTTTTTTATAGGATAGGGTGACAAACGAGCACACTCTCCACCATTATCGGACATTATCGGACTACGTTGATCATCAGGTGGACCTTAATTAGAGAGAAACAAAATTTTTATATACATACATACATACATATACATAAACACTCACGCCTGTCACCCAGAGGGGTAGGCAGAGACTACAGACTTCCATTTGGCACGATCCTGACACACCTCTCTCGCCGCCTTCACATCCATACACCTACGCATACATGCTCGTCGGTTAAGGGTACTCCTAATTTGGCCCGTTTTCAATAAATCGCCAATTTGGTCGATAAATTTTCGCCTAGGACGTCCCTTTCCGACTGTGCCATTCACTTCTGCAACATAAATTTTCTTTGTCACTCTTTCCTCATTCATTCTTTCCACATGACCAAACCACCGAAGCATTCCTTTCTTAATTCTGGTCACAATATCATCTTGCAAACCACACTCTTCTCTTATTACATACTTTACTATTTTTATATACACTTTTACAGAATAAGTTTAACAAACGAGCACAAAGTTCACCCGATAGTAGGTGAATGCTGTGGCCCACAGACATCTACATCTATCCCCGATTAAGTATTAAAATGCAAATGAGTTGTCGCTTTTGAAGACTAGGATGAAAACGTCGTTTCCAGTAGAAAGGGTCTCTAGTTCTCACACTCGCCATACGAAACACTGCAGCATTAAGCTGCTATTTCACGCAAGTATTCTGTGAGAGCGTGGTACTTCCCCGGTCGAGCCGACCCATTCGTGTTACAACCACAATGTAATTGCAGCATGGCTCTACCATTACACACCACTTAAACATATTTTTTCCTGTCGATAACGGAACCAACCTGGTGCAAGGGAGTCTGCTTCAGCTCATCACTCAAGTTTAAATCCGCTCCGGCTAGTCTCAGCGACTCGAGTTTCCGCACATTACCACTTCTAGCCGCCACCGACATCATTGCGGTCACAAATTTAGAGTCCGTGCTCGCTAAATGCGACCCGCATTGTAGCAAAAGTTTTATGACCGCGTCGTCATCCTGTTTCACCGCCGTGAGGAGTGGTGACTCGCCACTTCTATTGTTTGACGATAAAATTATAGGTTATTGTAAAATATTGGATTTATGTCATATATACTGGCTGATTTTTTTACCGTCTGGTAAAAAATAGGGTGTAACAGGTGAACGGAATAGAAACCTATAGCACTGATATTTTACATTTTTTTTTTTGCTTTTACATTAACATATTGTGAAATTGAACTATCAATAAATACCACTAATTTAAATAAACTTTCTTTGTAATAAAAAATAAAAACATAATTTTGGAACTAAATTAATTTAAAACTATCAAATTAAAATAATATGCACCCAATTAGTAGTATTTATTGATAGATCAATTTCATAATATGTTAATGTAAAAAAAAATTAAATTATCATTGCCATATGCTTCTATTTCATTCACCTGTTACACCCTATATACATAATATATCTACATACAACGGCGCCATCCGGGTCCAAATATGAATCTAAACCATTCAAGAATTAACTTAATTACACACACAACACACAATTAATTTCATCAAAATCGGTCCAGCCGCTTAAAAGTTCAGTCACATACATACGGAAGAGAATTATATAAGTATATTATAAAGATATATTTGTAGCATACTCCTTGACCTATGTTCACCAGTGGACCTATGAGGTTTAGAAGGGCTAGAACCCAGAGCCGTAAAGCCAGTGAAAAGTGGACTTACGATTGACCGTAGGTAACTAATAAGTATAAGGATGTTGATGATTTCATAAAAAATATAACTTAATACTATAACTGCGATAACAGAGAATAGTCCGTTGCGATTCTGAGGTGCATATTGGCGAACTTCACATTATATATTCATTCGCCACCAGTCACGTGGTTGAGCTACGCCTTAGTGTTAGATCATAGACTTCTGCACGAATATCGACTCGACCAGGTAAGAACCACGCTCGGGCAGTGTAGTACCATCGTAATATAGCAACATTATACTTAGGCCTGCCACACACTATATACGGAATCCCGTTTTGCCCGTAAAATTTCGAACGGGAAACTACCGTAGGTGTTTGACGGGTCATTGATTATATATAGACTTGCTGCTTTCGGAATCCCGAATCGGAATTCCGTATGTGTATGTGGCGGACCTTAGAATGCGATTCAAATAAGAATAAGATACGATGCTGCCACTCGATAAACTTTTTTCCCCATCGGTTGTCGGTTCTTCGAGCTATATGGCCGGCCCATTGCCACTTCAGCTTACTAATCCGTTGGGCTATGTCGGTCACTCTGGTTCTACTGCGGATATCTCTAATTTCTTAGTTTATCACGCAGAGAAACCCCGAGCATAGCCTCCTCAATTGCTCGCTGAGCGTACTCGAGCGTCCTCATACGGCCAGCAGTGAAGGACCACGTCTCAGATCCTTAAGTCATCACTGACAACACTCACTGGTTGTACAATCTAGTTTTCAGGTTTTAAAGTATACCTGATTTCTACCTGAAGATTTAGGCAACTGTTCCTTATAATGGAAGATGTCCATGTTCAGAAATTGACTTTTACGGGTTGAAAAAGAAGAAGAAAGGTACTAAATGAGACTTGCATGACTGTTTTAACCCCCGATGAAAGCAGAGTGGTGTTATAAGTTTGGAGTGAGTATCTGAGTACCTGTGAATCTGTCTGAGGTATCATGGCTCCTGAAAGGATGAAGCAATTTTGATTAAGTTTTTTTCGTTTGAGAGGTATCTTAATCGAGAATGTTCTTAGCTATGTTTCAAGAAGATCTGTTCAGTTATTTGAAGATCATCAGCTCTTTCTTATAAGATAAGGTTGACAAACGAGCACACAGTCCACTTGATGATAAGTGGTTGCTGGGGCCCATAGACATCTACATCTATCCCCGATTATGAATCAAAATACAAATTCTTTGGCACCCGTGAGGACTAAGATGGAATCCTCTCATACGACAAACAGCAGCGTTACGCTGCTATATTACGCTGGTATTCTGTGAGAGCGTGGTCCTTCCCCGGTCGGAACAACCCATTCGTGCCACAACTATGCTACTAATATAGCTGCAGCATGGATCTACCACGTAAAAAAATTATATCATAGTATCACAGTCTAGTTAGCGCTCTGAATAGATTGCATAAATCATTTAATTATTCTAAGTTCAATTCTTCTGAATATATACGTGGTAGAGCCAAGTTGCAGCTATATTATGGTTGTAGCACGAATGGGTCGGCTCGATCTGGGAAGGACCACGCACTCATAGGCGAAATTGGATAGGTAACCACTTGAGACGTGAGCGAAATTGGGAAATTTGGTAAAATTTGCGCAATCCAAATATGAACCGAATACTAACATTTTGAAGTCTTTCAAGCTTAGTTAGCTGGTCTTTAGTTATGTCTACATAGCTCGCGTCAGCATAGTCAAGAATCGGAAGGAGAAGAGACTGTGCGAGCATAATTTTTGTAGGAATAGGAAGAAATGATCGAAGACGACGCAGTGAACTAAGAGCGACAAAGGTTTTGTCCCGAATGGGTCGGCTCGACCGGGGAATGACCACGCTCTCACAGAATACCAGCGTAGCTTAATACTGCTGTGTTTCGTATGGTGAGTGTAGAGATCTGGAGACAAGGCAGAGACAGAGACAAGAAACAAGGCATTACATTTTAGTCCTCAGGGGTAACAATGCATCTGCATTTTGATTCTTAATCGAGGATAAATGTATATGTCTATAGGCCACAGCATCCACTTACCATCAGGTGGACTGTGTGCTCGTTTATCACTCTTACTCTATATAAAAAAATTGTAATTAAAAGCCCAGATTAGTTATGAAATCATTATGTTATTATCCCTTGCCTCGTCTTCAAGTGGACACTGGCGCCATTTTTCAACAGATACTCTATGATAGTAGTGTTGCCCTTTATAATGGCATCGTGGAGGGCTGTTTTGCCCTCGGAGTCTTGCGCGTTGACGTTCGCTCCCATATCTGAAAAAAAAAACAACGCATTGTATATTTTGTCAATTCTACTAAGCAATAGTAGCCTCAAGTCAAAGAGTATGACTACAAAACTAAACATTTTAATCCGCAGTTCGGCTACTATCGCAAACCACTCTAACACAAACATTTTCAGCTAAATTGGAGTGTTTAAAGAGAGGGATTAGTTACTTATGCGAAAATTTGAATTTTTAACCATAAGCCTGTATTTAAATAGAGATCAAATTATTTAAAAGAAAAACGTTATCCCCGTCAAACGTTACACTAGAATTTTCTCTTGTATCGTGAAAGCAGTTTACATACATAAATTGCACAAGGACAAACATCCAGACCCGAAACAATTACTTGTAGGTTACACAAACAATTGCTCGGTGAAGGATTTAAACCCGTAGGCCTCAGCGCTGCAACACAACTAAGCGACTGCGTCACGAAGCTGTTAAAAAGACGTCTGATTTAAAACTGCATGCGCTTTGGTATTGTGGTGAATACTTCATAAAACTTTTTATTTGTTTCAAGTTACCAATTTATTCATCTTAAAAACAATTACATACAATGCAATAACCTTACCCAACATCTTCTTAACGCCACGGAAATCATCGTGTTCTATCGCATACAGAAGTAGAGCACTGAAGACCTTTTCAGTTACCTCCACCAAATTCTTCGGGGACTGGATATTGAGGCTGGTCGCTATGGCGTCTATTAAAGTGTTGTCCTAAAAATATTTTATAATAATAATAATGTCCTGCAGACCGAATTTTCTTGTGGTCAGTCGGTCAGTCTCGACAGAGTCTAGCCATATGCGCAGGTACTCTCTATTCCCTCATTCGCACAGGGATTTGAAACCAGGACCTCAAAATAAGAGGTCACCTTTACGACCACTCGAGTAACGTAACGAGGCAGTTTAGAAGAAAAGTTTAAACAAGCTGTGGCAGCACTGTCGTCACGCCACAAGCGAAATGCACCGAAGCCTGAATCACGCTATCAAAGTTCCGAAGCTAACGCGCTATATATAAAACAGCTCCGAAATAACACACATTGCGCACAATAACACACAATGTTCTTTAATGCCGTTATCGCTGAATATATTAAATAATACAATACATGCTAATGCTTGACATAATTTGATGCGGTCTTAATTAAACATGGCGATTTCGTTAAATTCTCCAAATTTCAAGAAGTGCTTAAACTTGTTATGGTCTAATCGACACCGTGTAGTGCGGTCGTAAGTGAATCCATCTCTTCCATTTCTTCCGGTGAGTGTCGTAAGGGGTGACAGCTGGTAATGCTACAACTTTTTTATGGTTTCCGTTAAATATTAAAAGTTATAAACATCATGTTTACGCCAGACCTAAAATGTCCAGACTGGCGAAGGGCAAAAGCGTCAAATGTGTGAGACATCTAGACTTGTAGTACAATTAACCACCCCTAAAAATATAGCAAACAAAAACGTCTAATCGAAAATAAAATTCAATTATGATCTATTGTAAGTACCTCTATAGCTATAGTAGACGTGTTTGTCAATTCTCCTCTTATGTTTGTTGACATCATCTGAAACAAATTACTTAGTTGTATCATTCTAGAAATATACAAAAATATGCATTATTCAAATGAAATAAGGTTGATAATTACTTCTGTCTTCTGTTCGTACGTTAGTTCAGTCTTTGATAAAACATACGAGAGTTTCGTAAGAGCCGCTTCTGGGGTCATATCGAAGCCAGACACTACACCGCATTCCGCTATCAACTGAAATAAAAAAATGTTAATGTTGACTCACGAAATTTTTTTAATATTGGATACGGTGCAATACATATAATATATACTGCGTTATATAACGTAGTTTATACGGCAACAACATGATACAACACTAAAGACGCCTTAAAATTATAAAACCTTGCTACTTGTAGATAAATAGGAAATGATTCTCAGTAACTATATCACAAATTCGATAGTTTCTGTAACATACTGTGTCTGCAATGTAAGTTGATATAAAATACAATATCATCGTCATTACAACTTTTCACAAGTCCAATAAGTACCTACTACATTCTCGGCAAATGAAGGTGAAGGTGAGAACAATATAGAGCGAGAAATAACGCGGGTATTATGCAATGTGACGCAGTGTGTAGTGCACTATACAGGGTTATTTTTCAAAGGGTAGCCAAATATATATATATATAATGATATACCATTATTGCAGTTTTTGAAAATACAACTAAATAAGGCTTCTACTTTTATTTGAAATTATCCCAAATTGAATGTGATTTACGGGCAACAAGGTTTTTGCCTACTGTACAACCCTTACCAATGTGCGTGCGCAGTAAAATCGGTTAAAATAATTCATTACCAGTACCACACATTTTGAATTTAAAAGATAAAAAGGATAGAATGTTTGAGAATTTTCTTTTCATATTTTTTTTCTTGAAATTATTATTTATTCTGAATATCATCCGGTTATTGCAAAACAACCCTGTATAATGTACGGGGTAGTGTAAAACGGTATTTGTTTGTTTGTGTGTAGAGATCAACGCGAAGCAGCAAACAATGTGACATTGTAACTGTAAAGTGACGTGGAATGCCAAACAGAGCGTAATGGCTGATTTACACAGGGTCAGTAGACAAGTCAGTCGCAGCGCCAATGTCGGGGCCGCGACTGACTTTAACTGTTTACATGAAGTAAGTAGTAATGGTGCGTTTCTCACGGTGAGCACACGTGTGTGAAGTCAGTGGGAAATATGAATTCGCGAAAACAACTGAAACGACGATTTATTTGTTGAAAAATTTATCAATTTTGCTGTTGAATAAGTTAATAGAAATAGTAGAAAATGAGATAACTAAAAATAAACGACAATGGATAAGAAAATGGATTGACGGCAGAAACGAAACTGGTGGCTCTGCTTTGTTGCTGAAACAATTGCGATTTGAAGATCCTGCGGAGTACAAACTGGCTATGAAGATGTCACCACAGAATTTTGACGAATTGCTGTCAATGATATCGAGCTCTATTCAACGACATGATACATTCATGAGAGATGATTTACCAGCCAAAATTAAACTGGAAATAACGCTGACATTTTTGGCTTCAGGAATGAACTATCGGTTCCTTAGTCACTTTTATCGTGTCTCAAAACCAGCAATTTCTCAACTAATACCAGAAGTATGCTGGGCAATATATACGGCACTAAAAACACATATTAAGGTAAGAATTTTTTTATTATTAAATTAAGAAATACAACATCAAAATAGTATTAAGAATTTTCATAGGCACGCATAATCGTGTTAACAGCAGTGTTATTTTCACTTTCAGCTTCTTCATTGATCGTGGTGCTGTAATTGAAACCTGAGGGTGTAATAATAACCTGCCTGGGGTTTACAAATGTAGGGTTCGTTGATGTCACATGCTGCCACATGTTTACCGAAAATATCAGCGTCAGACTCTTCTTCAAATGGAGACATATTAACATCATTTGACACACTTTTTAAGTCCTTTATCATGGCGGCCATCTGAGATATTTTGGAGCGTTTTGATCGCGGAGGCCCAGATTGATTGGGAGCTGTCACAGAATTTCGAACTGGCGTCTGGATGGCTTGAGTTGGCGTTTCAGTAGAATTATCATTATTTTCAGTAGATCTTGATACATTTTCAGCTCCGTCAACAACACCCTCAGCTTCACCCAACTCAACGTCATCGTTGCTGGTTCCTGAGTTATCCTGTTAATGAGAATAAAATGCAATGTTTAATAAATCATTAGTTGATGATAATACGTATTTAGGTTGTAATTATTTTTTTTTGTTTACAGATTCCAGAACGAGAGGAAGAATGGAAAATTATTGAAGACGGTTTCAATACCAAGTGGAATTTCCCTTCATGTTATGGAGCAATCGATGGGAAACATATTATAATTAAAGCTCCTCCAAATAGTGGAAGTGAATTTTATAATTATAAAAAAAACCAATAGTACAGTATTGTTAGCACTTGTAGACCACGACTATTGTTTTTCATATATAGACGTTGGAGCGAATGGAAACGCCTCTGATGGAGGTGTTTTCAAAAATTCCTCATTATATCGTCGGTTGGAAGATGGATTGCTTCCTACAAATGGAGTAATAGGTGGTGATGCAGCATTTCCACTGAAGAATTATTTACTAAAACCCTATCCAGGTACGCAGCTAAGTACCGCCGAAAAAGTCTTTAACTACAGGTTGTCGCGTGCAAGGCGCATAAGTGAAAATGCTTTTGGTATACTGGTTTCTAGATTCCGAGTGTTCGAAAAAGCAATTCCAACCCATGTGGACACAGTTGATGCCATTATCTGTGCAGCCTGTGCCCTGCATAATTGGTTGCGAAAGCGTTCAAGTTCCTACATAACATCTACTTGTGTAGACAGAGAGGACAATGATGGACAAATAATAGAAGGAACATGGAGATAGGAAATAAATCCACTACCAAGCATTTCAGAACAACAGAGAGGCAACCACTCCATGACTGTTAAAGAAAAAAGAGACCTATATAGGAACTTCTGTATGACTGCTGGAAGTGTGCCATAGCAATTGGATAGAATTCATTAATTTTGTATAGGTACCTAGGATGGAAATAAAATAAATAAGTTACAATAAATACTTACCATTGTTTTCCTTTTTACAATAGCATTTTTTATAAAGCCGTCCAGTTCTTGAAACCACTTGACTTTTGGGACATATACGTTCCCACCAGCGCCAGATCTGGTGGATTTTTGTATCTTGTCGAGCTCTAAATAATATGTAGCCCTTATGGCTTTAATTTTATTTTTTACTTCAGTAGAAGTGAGCCCTCCGATTTGCATTTGTTGAGCCATATTTTGCAACGCTGTTGACCGCATTTCTTTATTGCGGTAATTTAGGGATTTAATATCCCAAAGGCACTCGTTTTCGCCATATAATTGCACCAATTTTAAGGTTTCGTCTTCGCTAAGCTTACGCGTCATTTTTATCGCCAGCGAAAAAAACGTGGTCACTCTACAACGCAGCGGCAGTGACTAACCACGTAGCCACGTACTGACTTGTCTGTTTACACGGGGTTTATTTGGCTGGCGCGGGGGTGCGCGGGTGGCGGGGGGCGCCAACTGACTTTAAAATATTCGTGTCCGAATATTCAAGTCAGCGCTGACTTCAAGCCACTGTACTGACTTCAAATCAGTTTACACAAGTTTTTTTTCGGGTCAGCACTGACTTGCCTCGAATTTGTAGTCAGTTACTGACCCTGTGTAAATCAGCCATAACGTGGGATAAGCGTAACATTTCAAAAATCTTGCAATATACAAGAGAGAGTGCGTTGTGTTAGTGTGACGCAGTTTATACGTGCTAGAGCCATGCTGCAGCATATAATTGCTGTAGCACAAATGGGTCGTCTAAACCGAGGAAGGACTAAAGCTGTCACGATATAACAAAGTAAAATAGCTGCTTCATGTGATGTAAATGCTATTTTATTTGTAACATATTCAGAACTGAACGTTTGTTTGTTTGGTTGTGATGAAAACCGCAGACAATTTTTACTGAAAACGGACGTTCCATCTAAGTGATCAAAGGTGAAAATAGATCCGCATTTTAATTATTAATCGAGAATAAAAATTTAGGTATCTCTACCTCAAAACATTTACTTACAATCAGCGTGCCTATTCGCTAACTTCCTCGACACCAAAATAATAGTAACTTTGTAGTATGTATATTGCATCGTATGCTATAAAGCTTTGCTATAAGAGCTATCACGACTCATAAAACAGAATGAATTGCAATCACGGCGACCAGATTCAATGGAAACTAGTAATCTGCGCAAAACAGGATTATAATGCACGAGTGTGTGCACAAGCACAGGTGCACTCTCTATTTTCTCACTTTCGTAGTGCGATGGGATAGCAATCGGACATGACCGGAGAGAGATCGAGGGCAGGACCAACAGCTTTAGGTGCTTTCCGAGGCACGGGAGTCAAAACATCGATAACTTCCAGACTTCGGATTGCTACTGAGAACTTACGAGAGAAAAATCCAATAAATAGATTAACCCGATTGATTCGAACCGCCACATGGTAGATATTCACTTTTAAGACCCTATAGTGGTCGTAAGCGAAAAAGAAAAGCAGTCTTCTTCAGAGGCGGTCGATACAGTATACTGTACAGTGCAATTCAGTCACAGTCTAACTACTACTAACAGTCGGTCACCGAAGGCATTTAGACGGGGCAATCGTGCGGTGTCGTGCGGGGCAAAACGCAGGCGGAACGCGCCCGAGCGGCGCGGCGGTTATTGGCTCGGGAGCTGTCTGCTAGGCTTACAGTCACGGAAATAAATTAAAGTGGTTCACACTACATGTGGAATGAAAGTTTCATCTGTTTCAACTGGAATTTGTTTAAACGTGAAATAAAATAAAATCAGTTATTTTTTATTAGTTCCCGTTCTGACAGCCCTAGCAATTTATTGTTTATGTCGGCTTTTCCGACAACATCAAACGCGATAAGTGACTATGTTTTTTTTAGGCTGTGGTTCAGTTATACCCGGCCGGTCTCGTAGAGCGGGGAGGCGACGGCGCCGGTGCTGCACTGCGTGATGTTGACCACGATGACCCCACGACGCACCGCCGCCGCTATTTCGTCGAACACGTCAGGCCTGTTAGACGGGATGTTACCAGCGCCGTAACTCTCCAACACTAAGCCTGAAAGTACATACAAATTATAAAACTTAAATCGATTTTCTGCTTTTTCAAAAAGAATAAATTATACTAACGCGGTCTGCCCTTATTATCAATTTCCGTTTTGGTGACTAATTTTAATCAATTTTGTTACGTAATTTACATAATCCATTTTAATGAAAACTTTGATGATTGAAATTGATGACATATTCAATAAACGACCACGGCGATATAATTATATAATATACTAATATATATATATATATATATATATATATATATATATAATGTAGGTTTCATTTAAACTACTTTTACGGATTTTATCGCGTTTAATTTTTTACGCAGAATGAACTTACTGTGTCTTGAAGTCTTGCACTGGTATGCTTGGGTTTTAATTTTATAAATAACAGGATCCCAAGCAGGTGGTAGTACCCAGCCTCCTTCTCTATTTATATTAGGATGTTTTTTTTTTATTTCAATAGCCTCACGTATCATCCTTGATAGCAATCGGAGTTCTTTCGCGAGAATTTGTGGTCAATCAAATCTGATGTAATAGTTAGGGCCGCCTGGGATATGATCACAATCAAACTTGTCACAAGTCTGCAGTTCAAGACACAGTAAGTTCATTCTTTGTAGATCGGACCACAAATAATAATTAAATAGCAGAAGTTACTCCAGGTTAACATTGACATCGGGACGTCATTCACTTCAGTCCCCCGTGATCATGAGTACTGGAAAGCACCCGAAACGTCGGGAATAAAAAATCAAATAAATTAAACGCGATCAAATCCGTAAAAGTAGTTTTAATCAATGTGTAAAAAAATGTACCGCCTCGTTGGTCTAGTGGTTGTAGTAGTACGACTGCTGAACATGAGGTCCTGGGTTCGAATCCCGGGTCGGGCCAAAATACATTTATTGAGTTTTTCTGATAAGAAATTCTCAGTAGTTGCCCGGAGTCAGGAAGTTGGCGGTGTCTCACCCCCATGCCTCGGAAAGCACGTAAAGCCGTTGGTCCTGCGCCTGATCTCTCTCCCGGTCGTGTCGGTTTACCGTCCCAGCGGATTACGAGAGTGAGGGAATAGAGAGTGGGCGCGCACACTATAATCCTGTCCTGCGCGGATGTCTAGCCTCCGTTGAGGCAGGCCGCCGTGGCCGAAATTCGGTGTGGAGGGCATTATTATTATTATTAATCAATGTGTAGTGATTAATAATAATAATAATATCTTCCAACGCGTAAATATAAGAAATCATTAAGCCATAACCTTTTAAAGTAGTTCTCCGCATACTTATAGATTGCCCGATAGAGAGTGCTTCGATGTTAATTCTGCCTTTGTACATTTTTGTCCAACAAGGTTTAAATAAGCTATAGTTAACATTATATTGCAAGACACTTTTCAACACTTTAAATTACAGTAAAACCCCGTCTTATGCTACCTTTTTATACGCGAATCCGAGATTACGCGGTTTTTGAATCGATTCGTTTTTCGAGGCGATACAACACTTTATTAATAACCTGATTCATTCGACTCAGTTCCCTTAGAAGATAAAATAGTAGTCGCTTTGACAGAAAGCCTCATTATGACGGCTTCACAAGTCCACTGCTGAACACAGGCCTCCCCCAAGAAATGTCACAAAGCACAGTCCTGAGCCAACTTATGAATGCATCGACATCCTCAGAAAGTCTCTTGAATTCAAAAAGAGTTAAAAATTTTGGAAAACACTCAACAATAAATATCACGTTTCTGGGAAACTTCAGACAACTTTCTGAACTGATTATTAAGTTTAACATTTTCAATACATAGTAATAATATTTGCATTCCAAGATTTTATTACACAATTTTCTTCAAAATTATTGTTTTTTTTTAAATAATTAGTGCCAATAAAAATTATAATTACATTATAATTTAGAATAATCCCTAGTCCCAGGTAAATAATTTAGAGGTAATTTGTATTTTTTGTATATCTAGAGCGAACGAATGTAAAATCCCCTAATGTCATTAAGGGGCTACTGAAATCCATGGACACCTGCGCAGTTGACTTCAAACAAGAAAGACTACAGACGCGTTGTCTCCCCTGAGGTAAAATGGAATTCCTTGCGGTCTGTAATTATACTGGCCTTCTTTACAACTTACAACAGCGCCATCTACCGGGTCCAATTGTGAATCTAAACCATCCAGGGACCCACTCGAATACAACACAAAACTGTATGTCTATAAATTATTTGAATATTTTTAATTTTTATGTATTACCTTCAATTGGAGGCTGACAGAACGCCCTTATAACCGACGCACTGATGCTGGGAAATATTCTCAACAGGCCCACGTTTTTTGACATCTTGGCGTGCAGCTGAAATTTCTGGATTACCGTCGGTTTGAAAATTGCCTTCTTGTTCACTTCGAAGTCGGTGCCAACTTCGACAAGCGGCACGCAGTTCGGCGAGTCGAAAGCGTAGAAGTTATTCACAGAGATCTTTCGCGTCCTGAAGCGACATACATTTTATTCCAAAAAGTAAAACTATTTTATTTACTACCTATACTTCTGTGCAAAGGCCTCCTCTCATATTTAAGAAAGTTTTACGGCAAGGAAGTGTTCACCGTACTACTCTAATGCGTGTCGGCATGCTTCACATGTCTTCGAAATATTTGATGTGGATTTTCTCACGGTGTATTCTTTTAACGCCGAGCACGAGCTAAATCAGCACTATTGTAATTAATAAGTATATTGAAGAAAACTATTTATAAGAATTTTATCGCGTTTCATTAACTTAATTTTAATTCCCGACGTTAGAGTGCTTTACAGCACGCACGGTCACGGGAGGGGGGGGTGAGATGTTTGACATCCCAATGTAATAGTTAATAAATGGGTGCGTTTGGCAGAAAAAAGCGCTAGCAAGCGCTTGTAAGCAAAATGGCGATCGTAAGCGGTAAGCGCTGTCAAATCGTAAGTAGCTATTTTCCTCCAGGACACGATGTTAGTTTTAACCGGGGAATCGGGAAAACCTAATTTAAATATATGTTTGTAAAGTATTCATATTAAAAACTTACCAATCATGAGTTTTTAATAGCATGTATAATATGTTTATTCATGTCATTATATTACTTAAAACTAATATTGCACAAAACAACTTATAAACTCTACTTCAAAACAAACAAATTAAATAAGCAAAATGGCGGATTGTGTCAGCGCTACTGAAGTAGCAATCGTGTCCTGGCCGAAAACTATTTTAGCGCTTATAAGCGCTTGCTAGCGCTTTTTTCTGCCAAACGCACCCAATGTAATTATAATTAGTGCCAGTGGAGATCAAGTTCGGGCTTTTCAGGTACTGGGAAATTTACATCGGGCGTGTTAGATTATTATAGACAAAGGTGGGTAGGTGATTTAATAACTAATTTGTAAGGTAGTTGATATATTTTATTTTGCTACCTACCCACAAAACAAGATCGTAGATAACATGATACAAACTTAATTTAAGTCCTTACGATTTAAATTAAGTTTGTATCATGTTATCTACTTCCGGATCTTGGTTCACTACCTTATCAAATAATTCAGCGCCGACTTATTACTTAAATAATTTCTGTCATTTGTTGGATTTTATAAGATAAATTAATACAAATAAATAAATTACATTTAAATAGTAACCATTGACGCCGTAAGCTTATCAGCTTCTACAGGTCGGTCAGGCGAACCTACATTGATGTTATAGATTGTGTATAAAGGTTGGCTGTGAAGAATAGATCAGTCGGTTTATGGAGTTGAAAAAGTGTCCATCTGTAAAAATTTACTTACTTCTTGAAAGTAACAGTTCAAAAACTCCACAATAACGCTGGAGTAGCTAGAGGGTATGAAATGATCTTAGCAGTTGTCGACGGAGTGAAATGTGCTGAGTTGAGAAATTCAATATTTGTGGTGAATAAAGTAGTTGATGGAACTGCAGTATTTAAAAACCTCAACTACTTACGTTGTCTAAAATATTTTAGTAAATATAACCTAGAAAAGTCACGGTAAAACACGTTGAGAGTGATTTTGAAAATAAAAATTTTGAAAACAATAAAATCATTATTAGAAAACGAATTATGGTGAAAGTCTGTGCAATAAATAAATATAAAAAAATCTTTAAAATTTAAACTCGAGCTACAGTGGCGCCACCCTTATTTAGCAATTTCCTGCGGACACTTTTTAATACAGAATTTGTTCTCCTTACCTCTCCAATCAGTCGGTTGTCTTAAAACCGCCACAGAATACATATACCCTGACGGCATAACCGCCTACAAGTGAACAAGTGAGTGGGGTAACTCTGTAATTTTGCTGTAAGGAGCTGAAAGGCTGAGTAGCTATTTTATTGGACCGGAATACTAAAGCTAAGTTACTTATGTATTTTGTTATAAGACTATATCTTCTAAATGTTAACGCCATAAATTGTTCTCCGTGTATTTAATAATTGCATAAAATAATATATTGCAAAGTAACTTTATTTAAAAGAAATCCCTCGCTGGGTTTCTTGCTGCCCAGAGATTTTCTTCGAGCCGCTGGTTGCAGTTCTATATTGAATAAAAATGATTCTATTCTATTCCAAAGCCTTTTCCTGTAACCCTACATATAAAATTATAAATAATATTTTAAAGCTTTTTCGTGTGACTCTTACATTTAACAAATCTAACAAGCGCATAGATGACTTTTTTGAAAGTATGTTATTAAAATCCCGAGCACAAGTCATAAGATTAAAAACCACTTATTTTTGCAATAAAACATATAGAAAAGCGATGGATATTAATACTGCACGCATAGTCTATCATACATACCAGTACTTTACGTCACTGCTTCGTAAGGGTTTACAATATGGAGAAATTGTGTCGAAATCTCTACAAAGTATAAAAAAGTCGCTTCCTGTCATCTGTATGCTTAGATGGTTAAACTACGCAACGGATTTTGACGCGGTTTTCATCAATAGACGGAATGGTTTAAGAGGTAGGTTTATATGTATGATATGTAAAAAATTAAAAATCATGCATACGAGGGCGGATCGCGGATCGCCAGTAAGCTAATGAATAGCTTTTATCGCATGAAAGTAATTTGTAAGAGTCATATGCGGTGTTCAACCTAGACTCATAATCATGTAAGCTACTTTTTATGCTAATCAGTCAGAAATCTTTTTGCTAATCAGTTGTGTTATTATTATGTAGGTATATAAGTATGTTGTTATTATTACTCAAAGTGTAAGGCGGCCTCCAACTAGATGGAGTGAAGGCCTGGTAATATATGTAGGAAGGCGATAGATGCAGGCTCAGGATCGTGCTTTGTGGCATTCCTTGGGAGAGGCCTAGGTTGAGCACTGTACTTGTGAAAGCTGTAATGGTGATGATGATTATTATAAGTGATTCATTAGTGGAAGCTTTTACTACTTTTGTATTTATTTCATCAAAATCAACCGTGTTCGTACAATTTAATGACAGTATCCTTCACTTCTTCTTTTGATAGAGGAGTAAGAAAAATAGGTGATTTTATTTTCTTATTTTATTTTTTATTTATTTATTATTTTTAGAGTCGTCTTTTATTTAAAACTAGCGACATACCCTGGTGATTTCTGGATCTTGATAACAGCGCCACCTACCGCACCCAACTGTGAACCTAAACCATCCAGGGACGCACTCAAACGCACACAAAGTCGTTTAAGGTGAAACCTACGGACTGCTCCCAGCCATTCTCCCGCAAGATGGCGCTGAAGTCAACATTTTAGTTTATTTGGGTTTTGTGTAATTGGAAAATTATTAAGTCGTAGGAGTAGACTTTGCGGTTATCGGATATTACATTTTATTGGAATGGGTCATATCATTGCCTCAAAATCCACCCAATTCGACACAAAGTTGGATTATACATCTGCAATTGAATATAGTGTCGTTTACACACACAGACGTATACGAAGCTTGTACACTAGATGGCGTGTATGTAAAAAAAAAACAAGTTTTTAATTTTTCTGTATGTGTAGATTGGGTAGGCAGAACTACAAAACGCTATGTGCGATTGTTATAAAAATAAAAGTTATATTTGTTGGCGTACATAAACTATTTAATTGATTTATAAACTTCGGAAATAAATTATGTCAACATTGATTACAATATAACGTAATTTTATTTTATTACATTACACTATTGAATTTTTTTATCAAAACAGAAGTACCTATTTGAAGCAACATAATTATGCTGATACATGGCTATTCACTCAAAACTAATAACACTGATGATTTGTAACACTACCAATTATTACAATAATTAGACATTTCATAACCAACACGTAAGAAACTATAATTCATAAACAAGAGATAACAACAAATCTATAACACGATTTATTTTTTGATAATAACCAGGAAGGTGAAAATAATATTTCCTAACCTCGAAGCACTCAACAAAAGCTTTTAGTAAAACAAAAATATAAATATAGAATATATCTATATACAAATCTTCCTTCAATTCTATATGAATTGGGTTGCGTTCGGAATACAAGATCTAGAACACTAAAATGTACAAAAAATTACTTATCTTTCTATTTCAATGTTATCTTTATATTCCTGGTAGAATTGGCCGACGAATAAGAAAAATATAAATCAGATTAGAATAAGCTATTTATTTATAAACAATAAAGCACGGAACAGAAAAAAGGATTTTATGTAACTGAATTATATTTGTTTCTGAACGCACCATAACCGTGAACTTGAGCTCTACAAAATATAACAAACTAATAATGTGTGTCTGTCTGAAACTGTTTGCAAAATGCGTAAAAGTTGTTTAATGTACCCAGAAAAACCATATTTAGCAAATGTTTGCAAGTTTAATTTTGTGACTATTTTGGTAGTTTACCGATTTATAATAATTGTATTTATTGTTGACCAAAAACATATTCAAACACATTAATGTATGAAACACTGTCACGTAAAAATCACGGGCCAGCCTGCTCTTTCTAATACCACCGAAAACATCGCGTTTTTAGAATAATTAATTACTATACCTACGATAAATTACAATATAGTCTCAAATATATACTAGAGAAATATTGCAATTCGAATCAATGAAAACATGCATACAAAATATGTATAATACACAAGAAATTCCGCGCGCAAATCATAGCGCGTGACAAACGAAATCAGAAAGTACACAGAACAATGTATTTTATAACAAGTCAAACAAGTGAACTAAGTTTGGCAACGCTTTTTTTCGTCAATTCAAGGTCAGGAAGGACGGCATCGTCGCTCTACCTACGACTTTTGGTATTTAGGTATGTTGCCACACAACAATAATAAGTAATAAAATTGTTTACAAAAAAAACATAGGTGTTTAAGGTCATTAGTTTTATGTTATTTTATACTGTTTTTTTAACGTTTGGAAAGAAAATTAACCAATTATTCAACTTAAGATATTGATTTATCAGAATTATTTAAGATCACTTGCATGCCATCTAGTGTGCCAACGTTTAACCGTCGCCTTTCGT